TATCATTATTGGCTGATGATGTGGCACTGTACATAGAAGACCCCAAAACTCCACCTAAAGAATTAATAACCAAATTGAGTAGCACGGCAAGATGTAAAGTCAGCATTCAAAAATCAATAGCATTCCTGTACACAAATAACAAACTCACAGAGAGAGAAATTAGGAAAACAACACCTTTCACATTAGCATCAAGAAAAATGAAATGCTTAGGAATCAATCTAATGAAGGAAATCAAAGAACTTACATTGAAAATTACTATCTTCTGAAAAAGGAGATTGAAGAGGTATCAGAAAATGGAAAGATATCCCTTGTTCTGTGATAGGCAGACCCAATATAATGAAAATGGTCATACTTCTGAAACTATTATACAGATTTAATGCAGTGACCAAAATACTGACAGCATATGTCACAGAACTAGAGAATACAATCCTAAAATGCATATTGAATGAGAAAAGACTTAAAATAGTGAAAGCAATTCTGAATAACAAAGGCAAGGCAGGGAGCATCACAATCTCTGATTTGAAATTGTACTAAAAAGCTATCATGAAAAAAACAGAATAGAAGCTTCAGAAATAACTCCAAACAACTCATTTATCTTTGACAAAGGGGACAACACCTTCACTGGAAGAAAGATAACTTCTTTAATAAATGGTGCTGGGAAAACTGGCTTTTGGCATGCCGAAGATTAAACTAGACCCATATCTCTCACCAAGATCTCTATATTAAAACAGTAACACTGAAAGTGCTACAAGATAGAATAGGTAAAACTTGAAGACAAATGTATAGGCAAAGACTTTATGAGAAAAACCCTGATTGTTCAGGAATTATTACAAAGAATCAACAACTTGGATCTCATCACATTAAAAAGCTTTTGCACATCAAAATGAACCACCAACAGAATAAAGAGACAACCCATGGAATGAGGAAAAATTTTTACCAGTTATTGCTCAAAGGACTGGAATATATATTTGGAATATATAAAGAACTCAAAAAATTAGCTACCCAATTTAAAAATCTAATCCAAAAATGGGTATCTGAAATGAACAGTCACTTCTCAGATGAAGAAGTACAAACAGCAAATAAATACATGAAAAAATGCTCCTTCACATCACTGGCTATTCAAGAAATGCAAATTAAAACAACACTGAGATTCCACCTCACTCAAGAAAGAATGGCTATCTTTATGAAATCAACCAATATCAAATGCTGATGAAGCTGAGGGGAAAAAAGAACTCTTCTCCACTGTTGGTGGGATTGTAAATCGGTGCAACCACTATGAAAACCAGTGTAGAGATTACTTAAAAAACTAAAACTAGAGGTTCCACTTGACCCAGCTCTTCCCCTTCTTTGTATCTTCCCAAAGGAGTTAAAATCATGGCACGCGCCCTGCTCCATGTGAGCCGCTCACGCCCACGCCCCGCACCACAAGCCCCACAACCGGTACCATGAGCGGCCTGAAGCCGGAGGGCTAGCACGGCACGGGCCCCGGCACCAGCCCCGGCGGTGGCGGCCCCGAGGACGAGGTGTGGACCCTGTTTATCAGTGGCCTCCCTATGGACATCAAGCCCAGAGAGCTGTACCTGTTTTTCCGGCCGTTCAAGGGATACGAAGGGTCCCTCATCAAGCTCACCTCGAGACAGCCTGTTGGTTTTGTGATCTTTGACAGCCAAGCAGGCGCAGAAGCAGCCAAGAACGCACTGAACGGTATTCGCTTTGATCCTGAGAACCCTCAGACCTTGAGGCTAGGATTTGCTAAAGCCAACACCAAGATGGCCAAGAGCAAGCTGAGCAGCATTCTCCCTGCCCTGGGAGCACATTTCATCACTCGGGACACCTATGACCTGATGAGGGCTGCTCTGATCCCTGCATCCCCAGAGACCTGGACCCCTTACCCTCTGCACAGCGCGAAGCTGGCCCCAGCCATCTCTCACGCTGCATTCACCTACCCGGCTGCCACCGCGCTGCCACCCTGCATGCTCAGACGCGCTGATTCCGGTCCTCTGACGCCTCCCAGCAGGGATGGAAATACCGCCAGTTCTGCTAGCTCTGCAGTCTTGTCACCAGTGAGCTGATGCTGGGACCATGTGGTGGGGCCAGCACAGGACCCCAAGTTTCTGCCACCCCCAGGCCTGTGCAGAGCTCTTGCTCCCTCCAAAGACTGTGAATCTTACAGCTGTGGCCCAGTGGGCAGGGTCCCATGTCCCTTTCCTCCTCTTCCTCAGTCTTGTGCCATCGCAAAACCCTCACCCAGGGCTTCCTGGGAGGATCTGGGGCCCAGTAAGGCCTGACCTCTAACGCTCATTTGCTTCTATAGCTGCCCTACGGGGAAAGGAGGTGTTTAATTTTGCCTGTTTTCTGGCATGAATGAAGACACTTCAGCCTGTGTATATGTGAGTTTACAGTTCATTCTGTCGCCATAGCATTGGGTCCTGGCACTCTTGGTCATCCCAGTGCCTGGTCCCTCCTGCCACACCCCACCCCTGCCCCACCCACTTCTGGGAGGCTGGGGGCCTGCAGCGCCCACACTTCGGGCTGCACAGGCCCCACCCAGCACTGGCCAGTGTCGCCTTTCACTTCAGACCAAGGCCCGGTGGCCTCCTCTGCCCACTCTGGTCACCTCTCCACAGTGCACCCCACCCCTGTGCTCCTCACTCTTTCCAAACCTCAAAGCCAGCCAAAACGTGGAAAGTATTTTTGTACCCTGTGTAACAAAATATTTATGCATCATAAAGGATTTTTCATGTGTGTACCATTAATTATTAAAGAGAGACCGTGTTTGCTCTGTCAAAAAAAAGAATTAAAATAATCATACCATAGCAGTATATGCATACACATGTTTATAGCAGCACAATTTGTAGCTAAATCTTGGAGACAGCTCAGCTGCCCATCAATGGATGAATAGATAAAGAAAATGTGGCTTTTATGTACAATGGAGTACTATTTTGCTATAAAGAAGGACAGACTTGAGACACTTGTAGGTAAAAGGATTCATCTGAGAAGATAATTTTAACTGAAATAATTCGGACACGCATGTTAAAACATCACACTGTTTCTCTTGTATGAGAAACCCTAGGTGTATGGAGTATAGATCTTGGGAAGTAGAAAGAAAATGTTCAAATGGGATGGGGGAACAAGTGAGGGGCAGGAAGGGAGGCAATAGGGATTAAAAATTAAAAAGTATGCAAGAAAACAGTAGAAACGAAGTTTTGTAAATGGAGAGGAGAAGAAGCATTGAAGGGAAGAGGGGGAATGGGGAAAAAAGAATTAAAATACTTTATGTACAGGTACAAATTCCCTATGATGAATGTGATCAAAAGAGAAAAACTAAGAAAACAGAGGGAATATAAAATATATTTTTAAAAAACGAAGACATTTCCCAAAGACAAATGATATAAATTTCCAAACTAAGAGGCTAATCAAACATTCAACCCAATGGATGTTAACAACAAACAAAAGCAAGAGAACAAATCCTTTTTTCATCACTGACATCCTGAACATCAGAAATAAAGATGTTACTAAATGAATCTAGTGCAGAAAAATACTAAGTTGCACATCACAGAGAAAGAAAACAGATGGGAATAAGACTTTTAAAAAATTGGAACAAAGTCCTAAAAATTCTGAGAGAAAATTATAGTATTTTCTATCTAGAACTCAATGCACTATAAAATTCTCAATCATATTTATGAGCAAAATGAAGTCCTTTACAGACATGTGAGTCTCTACAAGTTTCTAAGCATACACTCATCTCTAAGAAGCTACCACTGGATGTTCTCATGAAGATGAGGTCTGCATCCAAAATAGAGGAAGGTGTCGTGTGCAGGACTGTATTCCTTGGTGAAAACCTCAATGTAAAAGGCAAATCAGAATCTAATAAAGCATGTAATAACCCTAGATGAGAAAGCACTTGTTGAAAACCTAGACTTCCCAGAATGCCCATCCCTGATGGTTTAGGACCAAGTTGCCTTATCAGAATTTGTATGAAACTGGGAAGGTAGCACAGAAGCAGGTGATTTTCCAGTCATATAGGCAGATAGGCACAGAGGTGTCAGAAGCCTTCTAGCTTTTTCCTCCCATGCCCTGCTCTCCCTGCAACCCCTCCACCCCTCCCTATTTACAAAGATTTTGTTTCCATTTTTTTCCTCATATTTAGTCTTTTCCCTTCTTTCCTTCCCCCTATCCCTCCAAATTCCCCTTCCCCTTTGGAACTTTTCTTCTGATTTCACATTATCTATTATACATTTTGATCCTTATTTACACTTTCAGTTTCTCATACCAGAGAAACTATTTGATATTTACACGTGTGTCCTATTTATTTCACTTAAGAGTATAGCCTCAGTGTGCATCCATTTACCTATAAATGTCTCTAACTAACTGACTCTTCAAAACATGACCTCTGCCACCACTGGGTGTCTACTGAAATGGGCTTGGAGCTATCCTCATAAACACAGTAACTGCTCTGGAAAATGTCTCTACCTCAAGAAGGTTCATCATGATCAGGATGGAGGGCTTGTTTTAAAGGATACAAGCAGGGAAGCTAAGGCACCAAGCATCCACAGAAGATGGTGAGGGCAGTGACAGTAGTAGGAGGGAAGGTTACAGACTGGCTGAGGTACCCCACATGACTTTCACTAACCCCTTAATCTCCCTAATCCCTCCACACTCATTTTCACCCCTATTAAAAGAACAACTTTCCTCCTAGGAAGGCTTCCACAGCAAGAAGGTGGAGGACATGGGGATCAGCCTGAATCAGCATGGTGGCAAGGCCCACATACTCCTGCGACAACATGAGCTGCTCTACTCGGTAGCTGGTGAAGGATGGGCCTGACAGTGGGCCAGAGGTCATTCGTGGGTCAGGACAGACTCACCAACCCTGAGGATTCTGGTCCATCTCTGGCAGAAAGGACATGGGAAGGTGTTTCCTTTTCCTCAAACACCTTGGAAACTGGAGAAGACAACCTAGTCCTTGGTCATACCTGCCCTTGTGACATCATGGCCATCACTTCCTCCACTACCTGTCCCGCCCTGCCCAACTTAAAGAAACAGCAAGTAGAGGGGGATGACCACTTTAGCACCTGCCCCCCTCCATCATGGGAAGTCACTGCTGTGTAAGATGCCATCAGACTCCTCCGGGTGTGGGGAGATGTCCCCCATAGAGGGAAGACCTGGATGACTCTATGGGAGGCAAGGTGTGGGGAGCAGATAATGTGGGGACTTTGCACAGTGACTGGCCCTCACCCATGACCCCTCCCACCATTTTGATTGCAGAGGTGTGAATCAGATATAGAACCACTAGAGAGACAAGAGAGAGAAAGAGAAAGGCAACGAAAGGTATGTGGGAACAAGGAGCACAAAAGAACCAAAGGACTCAGGGTCCCTGAAAATGGAGGAGCCATCTCTGGACTCATTGGGGTTGGCTCAGCATTGCTTTACTTCTACTAAATCCCCTCCCTCTCCTGAACGAACTATGCACAGGACACACAGCAGGTGAGGCCCAGCACAGTGAGAAGTGGAAAGATAAATAAGGGTCAGCCTGGGGCTGCAGGGGTATACAGTGACTAGAGGTAGGCACTGATGTCAGTAGAGGCCAGAAGAAGGCCAGGGACTTAGCTCAGTGGTGCCTTACCTGCCTTGAATGTGCAAAGTCCTGAGTTTGACCGATGGTACTGAAAAAAAAAAATAGAGGTGAGAAGGGGCAGGACCCCAGATAGGATATGTGAGTCCCAGTAGACAACCCACATGAGTTGTCAGGAGGCAGCATCCTAGGCTACTTCAAGACTGAGGTGCAAGCAAGCATAAATGCAGAGGATCCTTTGGTTCCTCAAACCCATAGTGAGGAAGTTTCTGCTAGTCTTACAAACCTGAGAAGTCCACAAAGCAAGATATCTCTACTTTATAGATGAGGACAAGGCAGCTCAGTGAGCAAATGTGACTGTATCCATGAGTAGGAAAAAAGCAGAGGAGAAACCCTTCTTGGCTCTCCTAGACCCTCAGAACCAACAGGATGGGGACCAACTATGACAGAAATACCTGTGTCTGATGGTGGCAAATTTAATGGGGGTCTTTTCTTTGCCTTATTAGTTGCTTCTTGCAAAACAACACAAAAGAAGGGTTGAGGCAGCTAGGAAGATCCAGGCCTGGTGGCGTGGCAACCTGGTACGCAGGACTCTGCTAGTTGCTGCCCTCAGGGCCTGGATGATTCAGTGCTGGTGGAGAACAATCCTGCACAGACAACAGAAGAAGCTGCGGCAGTCCCTTCTGAGGATATATGTGATCCAGGAAGAATCCGTGGTCAAACTCCAGTCCTGGGTTCGCATGTGGCAGTGTCGTCAATATTACTGCCAAATATGCGAAGCTCTCTGTGTGTTTAAGCCCTCAAACAGCAGTCTTGTCATCCAAAACAAAGACACTTTACAATATGGAGTTGTTTCCAAGCAGCCAGAGTTCCACATTGAAATCTTATCAGTCTAAAAGCTTACATAATGAAGGCCTCATTCCAGCACTTCAATAAATATCTGACCTGGATATGTGAGTCTCAGTGAATGCTGCAGCCATAGGAATTCAGCCCCAACACCAGGAACTCATGCCCAACCCCTTCCTCCTCTACTTGGGGAAAGACTTTAGAGCAGGTAGGCACACCTCCAGCCCCACAGTGCCTACGACCCCTGTTTGGCCTGACTCTGTATCCAAACCAAGAAATTATGGCTCAACGCTAACTTCATACATGCAGAGCCAGGTCCTTACATTACCCTGGCACCATCTCAACCCTCTGAAGTTGGAATTGGGAGGAATTGGGTTTTGCTTTCCTGAAGTTTCTGGGCATTACCTCATAAATCATCACAGTGACACTATTTATGTTAACCACTCTGGTCTCTGATTTTTGTTGCTATTGTTGCCTTCTATTCTCTAGGGCAGAGGTCAGAAAAGTATGGCCTGGAGCCAAATAATTGCAAGTATATGAACATCAAGTCTAATATACCTACTATCTGGCCCTTTATAGAAAAAGCATGTCAACCCCTGCCATAAAGACACAGATTCTTATGCACTGATCCAAATGTTTCTTCTGCCTCACCAGGACTTGTGAGAGGCTGGTCTGGCCACCGCTTTACTGATAACTCTGCAGTCATGCTCATCCCTCCCTTGGCATTCTCTTACAATTACACTATCAATGCCCCCTCCACTTTTGCATGAGCCACACACTCTCTTTGCTTCATCCTTGCAACAAATGTGTGGAAAAGTCATCATGTATATGGTTTGGTTTTGCATTCAAGACAACAAATTTCTCATGGACAAACTTTCCAAGATACTTCTCTTTTCAGTTTACCTTTTTTCATGTTCTTTTTCTTCCTGTTCAAAATCACCTCTCCCTCCTCTCCTTTTGGCCTTAAACAACAGAGTCATCACACTTAGCTGAGGAAACAGCAGCAGAATGGGCCCTATCATCTTCCATCTTATCCTCCTCTCCTGAATCCTACACTTGCTTACTTCCTTGAGCAGGAATGAAATCTTTATCCTCATCCCAGGCCACCTCTTCCACTCTGCTCCTTTTCTCCAGTTTGTCTTTTGCCCACCAACCTCTCTTGCTTTTGCAAAGACTTAAATCTTAGAATCTCATTTATTTCTGTAGATCAGTTTCTACCTTTTCACTTAATCACTGCCATTTGCATATTAAATGTTCCCCATTATAAAAAAAAAAGTCCATTCTTCACCACCCCCTGTTCTGCTGATGTGCATTCCCTTCATAGCAAAACAGACTGTCATTGTCTACACTGCCACTCCTCCCATTTTTTTCTGAACTCACTCCGACTGGGCTTCTCTTCCTTAATTCCACAGGAAATATACTGGTCCAGTGGTATTGAGAAATTTGAAATTTGACAAAAATGACCAAAATTACTTTCTTCCTTGAATCTGTGCCTCCTTATGTAATGGACAAGTGAGTTACAACAATAAAGATGCATCACATTCTGCATCAGATTTGGGTTAGCTTATCTAAACTGGCAACTAAAGAGAGGGCTAGTGCCCAAAAAGTTCTCTCAGCACTGAGAAGCCTCCTGATGTGTGCCTACAGGAGTCAAAACAGGAGATGATGCCAGCTTGTACTAAGAAGGTGGCAATGGAGATGGAGAAAAATCAAAGGATATGGACTGTATTGCAGAAACAAAGCCCACAACATCCGCTGATGGTCTGATATGGAAAGGAATGGATGAAGAGAATGGAAAAGGATTCAAAGAGGAATTCGAATTAAACAGATTGGGTGAATGACACCTGTAGGTTCTTTACCTTGCTTTAATTATTCATTTATTTTTTCAGACCTAACGTATACTAGTAGACAGAATAGCATAACCCCTCTCTACACATCACACAGAGCTCAATAATTAATAACATATGGTCAACGTTATTTCATCTCTACTTCTCACTCTATGTCCCACTGGACTGTTTCATAGCAAATCCCAAATCCCAAAATATTTCATTTCATCATAAATAATATAGTCTATGTAGTGAATGATTAAGAATTTAAAGGCACATAGCCACCTATTTAAATACACCAAAGTGGTTTTTTATAAAGGTGCAAAAGCAATTCAATGGAGAAAAGACAGCCTTTCAACAAAAAGTGCTAAACTAATTGAGCAGAGACAAAAAATAAAGAAAATAAAGGAAAAAAAAAAAAACCCTTTGACCTGTCTCACTCTGGATACAAAAATTAACTCAAAATAGATCGTAGACATTTATGCCCAACAACACTATAAAAACTTTAGAGAGAATCTTCAGGATTTCAAGTAGATTTAAAAAATCTAGCCAGGCATGGTGGCACACGCCTGTAATCCCAGCACTCAGGAGGCTGAGGCAGGAGTATCGCTGTGAGTTCAAGACCAGCCTGGGCTACATAGTGAGTTCCAGGGCAGTCTCAACTACATAGTGAGACCCTGTCTCAAAACACCAAAAATCTTAGGGTTGATCCCTAAGAAGAGATTGATAAATTCATCAAAATTTTGAGACTTTTGCTGTATGAAAGATGCTGTGGAGGAGAAGAAAAACCAAACTGCAAAATGGGGGTGTACTTGCGAACCACGAATTGGACAAAGAACTAGTATCTAGAATACATAAAGAATTCTCAAAACTCAACAATAAAAAATAATTTTAAATGGGCAAAAGATATTAAAAAAAACATTTCATTGAAAAGGATGTACACATGACATATAAGCACACGAAAACATCATTAGTTATTAGGAAAACTAAACACAATGAGATTTTGCTATATACCTGTCACAATGGTTAAAATTAAAAAAAATAGTGGCAGTGCCAATGCTGGCTTAATGCAAGCACATGCCTGCAATCCCAGCACTTGGGAGGCTGAGGCAGGAGGATTAGTGTGGGTTTGAGGCCAACTGGGCTACACAGTGAGCTCAAGGTCAGCCTGAACTACATTGTGAGACCCTATCTCAAAAATAGAAAAAAGAATGCAGACAAACTTAATCTCTCATGTATTGCTGATGGGTGTACTTATTGTGAAAAGTTAATGTTTACAACTATATGTATATGTAAAGAACTGAGTATCCCATCATCCTAATACATGTATAATTGAGTTATCAGATTTGTAAGTTTTTATACATCATTTTTGTTTCATTTAATTGAATAAACATTTAATTAAGTGGGAAAAAAGTTAAATAAATATGGAATTACCATATGATCCAGCAATTCTACTCCTAAGTATATACCCAAGGGAATTGAAACAAATATTCAAATTCAAAAAAGCTTGTACAAAAATGTTCATACATGCATTATTCATAATAGTGACATTGTGAAATATATATTTGGTCTTCACCCACACTTCCTGAAATACAGCTTCCAAGATCCTTGGCATCTGCAAAGTGATTTTTTTTTTATATGCTGAGCTGACTCCCGGCTAGCCTCAGGATGGTTGGTTGCCAGGGGAACCAGCCTTGTGATTAGATATTGCTGCTAAGTGATTAAGCCAACATCATAATAATAGTTTGGGTCCCTGCTCCATTTTTTAATTGATTTAATTTTATTTTTTAATTACATAATACATGTAGTTCTTAGGTTTAAAAATTTCAAGAAGCCAGGCATGGTGGTGCATGCCTGAAATCCCAATACCCTGAGAAGCTAAAGCAAAATCACAAGTTTAAGTCCAGCCTGGGCAACTTAGAGATTTAGTGAGACCCTTTATGGAAATAGAAAAATTAAAAAGGGATGGGGGTGGAGCTCAGTGCAAAGGTCCTGGCATAAATCTCCAGTACTCTCCCTTCAAAAATCTTCAAGAAAAGGTCCACACTCTCCCCACTGATAACCTCCCATGTGTTACTCCATTAGACACACACACACACACACACACACACACACACACACACACACAGATCTTTTTAGGTTAAAGGTACCCTCTATGTATACTTCTGTACCTTGATTGTTTTCACATATTCAGTGGACATGAAGTTCTCTTAATAGCTATATGTATTCCTCTCTATGGCTGAGTGTGGTCCTCAACCTTGTGGATGGACAATTTTTTATTTACCAGCCATCTACTAATATTTGGGTGTTTAACAGTCTTTTCGTATTATAAGTAGTAATGCAATGAAAATCTCTATGCACATATTATTTTGTAGTTTTTGCCTCTGAATCTAGGATAGATTCCTGGCAGTGGGATTCTGAGTGAAGGTTAAGTGTGTAGGTATTTTTGCTAGATACTGCCAATTTCCCTTCCCCAGAGATTGTATCATTTCCCTTCTTAACAGTAATGAATAAGAATGTCTACTAGCCCAGAATTTACCCAAAAAAGAAAAGTGTTAACCTTGTATCTGAATCATTTTAAAAAATAGTTATATGATCATTAAAGACCAATAAACCTATTTCAACAATTTTTAAATGACAAATTTATATCATGTAGACCCTTCTTTCAAATATACTACCAAAATTTCTACTTGATTTTTAATTTTTGTTGTTGGGGATTGAACTCCTGCTAGGCAAAAATGCTAACCATTGAGTTGCCAACTTTCACAAGTATAGTCTATAAGACACTTTGTTGACTTATGAACAAATCCAATTTATGAAAAATTCCCCCAGAATGGAACTTATTTGTAAGTCAGTGACTCATTGTAAAAGAACACAAGAACTCCACAAAGTCTTCTAGACTTAATAATCAAATTCAGTAGAGTACCTGTATACGAAGTCAACACACAAAAATCAATAGCTTTCCTGTACTTGAACAACAGACTCACTAAAAGAGGAACTTGAGAAACAACTCCTTTCACAGCAGCATCACAAAAACAAAACAAACAAACACACAAAAAATACCTAGGAATCAATCTAAAAAAGACCTCTACCCTGAAAACTACAGCATTCTGTAAAAAGAGATCAAAGAAGATATTAGAAAATGGAAACACATCCCTTGTTCCTGGGTAGGAAAAACCAATATAGTGAAAATGGCCATACTTCCAAAACTGCTATACAGATTAAATGCAATCCCAATTAAAATTCCAACAACATACTTCACAGAATTTGAGAAAACAATCCAAAAATTCATTTGGAGACCTAGTATAGCAAAAACCATGCTAGGCAACAGAGATATGACAGGGGGTATCACTATCCCCCAACTTGAAACTATACTACAAAGCTACTGTGACAAAAACAGTATGGTACTGACAAAGAAATGGACCCAAGGATCGGTGGAACAGATTAAAAGATGCATAAACAATTCCAGACACATTCAGCCACCTCATCTTTGATAAAGAAACCAAACACCCTCACTGGAGGAAAGATAACCTCTTTAATAAATAGTGCTGGAAAAATAAGGCTTCAACTTGCCAAAGATTAAAACTAAACCTATATTTCTCACCATGCACTAAACTAAAATTAAAATGAATCAAAGATCTAAATATTAAAACAGAAACACTAAACTGGCTGGAAGAGAAGTTAGGTAGAATTCTTGAAATAAATGATAAAATAGACTATCTCATCCACCCATCACACAATATATTCAAACTTTATTCATATACTTTGTTAAATTTCACAGTCTTTTTTAAAAATTATAACAAGAGCTAGAAATTCATCTGCTGCAGGTCTTCAGATTTCCAGTACAGTGTGCCATTGAATAAACCTTCTCAATATTCATCTAACCTCATCTCTCAATAACATAACCCTCAATAAAATTTTGTTAGAAAATACATAGTTTTCAAGGAAAATATGTGGCTCAAGGTCCAAGAGATTATTTGTTTTTGGCTCCCAAATGAAGTCTTCAGTTTAACCAAAAATCTCTTAGTTTTTCACTTAATCATCCAAACTCCCCCTGGCTGGCTCAGCTACTCATCCAAATACACCTGAAGGGCAGGCATCATACCTGCCACCTCAAATAATGTCAACATTACTGCCCACAGTGGCTGGTTAGGCCTGTCAGGAGGTACTGTGTGTTTCCTGTGAGTCTGATTCCTGCTCAGGCATATTCATCAAGACTGAAATCCTAGCCGGGCATGGTGGCACTTGACTGTAATCCCAGCACTTGGGAGGCTGAGGCAGGAGGCTCGCTGTGAGTTCGAGACCAGCCTGGGCTACATAGTGAGTTCCAGGTCAGTCTCAACTACATAGTTAGACCTTGTCTCAAAAAAAACAAAAAACAAAAACAAAACAAAACAAAAAAACCCAAAGCTTTGTAAATGGAGAGGGGGAGCAGCATTGAAGGAACCAACAAAGAAATATCAAAATTGAACCAACTCTTTGAATAAATTGACTTAATAGATGACCACAGAATGTTCCACACAAGAACAGAATACACATTCTTCTCAGCAGTACATGGGGCTTTCTCCAAAATAGACTACATGCTAGCTAACTTAGTTATTGTCTCATTCCTGGGACAAAATACCTGACACCCACACTCACAAGTTAAGGGAAGAAATGCTTATTTTAACTTACAGTTTGTAGATGTTTTAGTCTATAGTTAGTCAGCTTCAAGATAGGTTGGCATGGCAGAGGAGAAATTATCCATAGAAAGTCAGGGAGGAAGCAGCATGACCTCCTTTTTGTCCTTTTTATTCCCTCCAGGCTACAAGCCTCTTGGTCAGTGTCCCACACATAGCCAGGGTAAGTCTTTCCTCTTCAGTAAATTCATCAACCACACACAAAACTATGCTAAACCAGTATAGGTGGGCTAATCCAGCATGACACCCATAATCCCAGTCACTCCCGAAAGCCCCACCTGAGAGTCCATGAGGCTTTGGGGGGTAAGTCTAGATACAAGCCATAACATTCCACACCTGGTCCCCACAAGATTCATGTATATCCCTTTATGCAAAAGGAATTTAATTCATCTCTAAGAATTTCCAAAGTCCTAACAGTTTCAGCATTGCTGAAAAGTTCAAGTCCAAATTCTCCTCTGAGACTTAAAGCAAACTCCCAGCCATGAATCTGTAAAAAAAATGAAAAGAAAGCAAACAAACTAGAAATAGAAAGGAATTTCCTCAGCCTATAAAGTGCTCCAACAATAAACATCATACAAAAGCTGATCAAAGAATATGGTATGTGTTTAAATAAGAAATCTATTAATTTTAATGGGATTAATATAATTTTAATGGGATTAATATTTTATTATACACTGGTGCCTCAGTTCATGAACTTAATTCTTTCCACAATTTTGTTGCAGCCAGAATTGTGGAAGGAATTCTGCAACCAAAATCATGGGAAGAAGCAAGTTCATGAACTGAGGTACCACGGTATTAATTTTTTAATTCAGTGTATATTTTGATCACACCTTGTCTCTAATGGTGAAGTACTGAAAGCTTCCTCCCTAAGATTAGGAACTAGACAAGGATGTCCATATTCGTGCCACCTTTCTTCATTATTGTATTAACCCAATGATAGTGAACCTTTTAGAGACCAGTGACCAAATGGAAACCCAAAACCCACTTACTTATTGCAAAGTGCCAGCACTACATTTAAACCTGAATACTGGGATGTTAGTTTAGAAAAAACAACCCATACATTAACATCTTTTCTCTTAAAAGAAAAGCAAATACAGTGGCACCTCAGTTCACAAATGTTTTTGTTTGCAAGCAATTTGGTTCGCAAACAGAAGAGTTTGGCACAATTTTGCTTGTGTTGGCCAACGCTGCACACAGTGACAAACATGGCTGCCCTTTTGCCACACAAACACAAATGTGTCCATCTTTTCCAAAATCATAGAACAAATTAAGTTCATGAATTGAGGTACTACTGTAATATGAGTGTGATAGGTTTGCCAACACTGTATTAGAGGTTCCAACAAGAATACTTAGCCAACAATGATAAATTTAACTGTACTGTATACTTAGAAAGTACCAACAAACTCCATAATATTTTTAAAAAAGAGTACTTAGCCAATAAAATTAAAGTAGGAATACTTATCCAGAACAGGAATAAATGAATCACTATTTGCAGATGACATGATCTAGTGTTGCAAGATATAAGCTCCATATCCAAATACAGTAGTATTTTCCATTCAGAAACAATGAGAAATCAAAAAATGAAATTGAGAAAACAATTCTATTTACAATAGAATAAAATAATGCAACATTTAGGAATAAATTTAGCAAAGTAAGAGCAAGACTTGTACAATGAAAATTTCAAAATATTATTGAAAGAAATTTTAGGAAGACCTAAATAAATTTTAAAACATCCTGTGTCTATAGATTAAAATATTTAAGAAAACGGTACTCACCAAATTTATCTTAGATTATACAATTCCTATCAGAATTTCATTCTTTTGTTTTTTTTGGTACCAGGGATCAAACTCAGGACCTTGCACTTGTGAGGCAGGTGGCAGCACCACTGAGATAAATCCCTGGTGTATCAGAATTTCAGATGGCTTCTTTATAGAAATTGGTAAACTGGTCCTAAAATTTATATGAAATCTCAAGGAACGCAGAAGTGCCATAGCAATTATAGAAAAGGAAAACAAAGTTAGAAGGCTCACATTCTCAATTTCAAAACTTGTATAAAGCTACAAAAATCAAAACAGTATGGTACTGGCATAAAGACAGACCAATGACACAGGATTGAGAGTATGAAACCTACATATCTATGGGCAGTTGATTTTTGACAGGGGTACCAAATCCATTTAATGGGAAAGAATGTTTTGAACAAATTGTGCTGAAACAACTGGACATCCTCATGCAAAAACAAAAACAAAAACAAAAAACTGAACCTCACACCATTCACAAAATTTAACTTGAAATATATAAAAGATTTAAATGTAAAAGTTAAAACTTTAAAACTATTAGCAGCTTAAATCTTCATGTTCTTGGATGATGCATAAAAATACATAAAAGAATTCCCAAAGAAATGGAAGTACAGTCCATGTTTTTTAAAGAGAAAATTCAGTATCATAAAGCTAGACTTTCTTCCCCAAATCAATGCATTTACAGTCAAAATTCTAGCTTGACATTTCAGGAGACTAACACTGGCCCCATGGAAATTTTTATATTTTAGAATATCTTTCAGTATCTTAAATCCCTTGGAAATATCTGGATTTGTAAGTTTTTTAAACTTTGGGTTAGGTCTCGTTGGTCCCTTGTTTATGGTAAATATTTAGTGGCCTCCTTAGTGCTTCATTTTGGCAATTTATATTTTGCTCAGAAATCATATTGACTTAGTGTTCTAAATGTTATATTCTCTTACATTTATTTAAATATCCCGGTGGTTATTTCATCTTTCTCTTCCTACTCTATTTTCTTACTTGGTCACCCAGACTTTTGATATATTTCTCTGTAATACTTGTCTTGCCAAAATACTACCTTTTAACTTTCTTTTCCACTACCCACTATTGTTTTCTGTGCCATTTAAGCTTTTAACCTTGATTTTATTGCTTTCTAAATTCAGCTGGCCTATCTTTTGCTAGTTTCCTAAGGAGTGCTGAAGTGCTGAAGCCTAAGTAAAGAGAAGACAGGAAGCATCACATCCGAGAAGACACTTGAGAGCTGTCTGGAGAGTACTTCCATGGTCCCCCCCACACTGTTATGTGAGTGGCCATAAGGAGGCACTGTAGATGAACCTCAAGGAGGACAGCCCTGGCATGAAATGTCACAGAAGGCAGTAGAACAGTAGTCCCGGCTCCCATGAAGCTTTTTTCTGAGGGAAACTCAACTCTGTGGCAATGTCTTAATCTAGGTCATAATGCAATTGTGAATTCATAGCTTTTCCCTCACTCAAATGACTCATGCCAGACCTTGCGAAACAGGGAAATCAGAGCTAAAGAACCATCTAAAAGACAGGCCATGGGAGTTCAGTTTTGTGTAAGAGACATAGCCAGATCTACTAAGTGACCTGGGGGCTGGGTGGGTATTGCCCTGGACTTCACAGGTGTTGGGAAAAAGAGGGGATGCTAAAATGGTAAGCACCTTTGTACAGCTCCATAGAGAGAAACAGCAGTCTTAACTCATTGTTTCCCATTTAATTCTGTTGACAGACCAAAGACAATCTAATTTTATTTGTATCTGAGGATAATGAAGCAACAATTAAACCGAGGCAGTTGAAGAAGGCAAAACAGGTGAGTAGAAGTTCACATAGTTAAGAGAAATCCAGACCACTGATATCTCTGTCCAGAGGGTGTGGGGTTCTGCCTTTTATGGATCCAGAGTTAAAATAAGCAGTCATCAACTCAATATTGACTCATTTGCCCCATCCTTTTCTCAGCCTGAGCTGTCTGGATGTGGGTCTGACTGTGACATAGAGAGCGACTAAAGGAATGAAACCCACCAAAAAGTGCCTGGGATATAAGCAAGGATATGAGGACTCTGACTTAGAGAGTGGGACATTCCAAAGCTGGGAAGGCTAGGAGTAGAATACACATGGTGAGGCCAATGGAAGCCTACCCCAGTATCAAAATACTTGGTTCTGACAAGGAAAAATAAGCCAATGTGTTTCGGGATCAGCATTAGCAGAGAAAAGCTAGGCGAAACATTCAAAGGCCAAACCCAACCCCAAGCAGCTCTGAAGAGGTGGAGGGACCAAACTATGTCATGTTCCCCACACCCCTTGCTTCTTCCTTGATCAAAAGGGCACCGTGACTCTGAGGGTAAGGTGATGTGTGCAGGGTTGTAGAAAGGAATCCTATCAGCTCTCTGGTGCCCGTGGTGTCCCACCTCCTATGAGTTCTCTGAGCAAGGGCTCGCATTGAGAGAATCTAGTCCCCTTCCAAGAAGATCCTGGACCTTGGTGGCAGGAAGTTAGTTCCCTGAGTGGTCTCTCTTATCTCTGTCTAGAAGAATTTAAGAAAGAAACTGAACTCAGCAGCCATCCTGATCCAGGCCTGGTGGCGGGGCACCCTGGTACGCCGCACACTGCTGCATGCAGCCCTCAGGGCCTGGATCCTTCAGCGCTGGTGGCGGCAGGTGATGGCACAACTGCTGGAGAAGAGGCGGCGGGCAGCGCTGACTGGTTATGCAATCCGAGAGAGGGCAGCAATCACACTGCAGTCTCTGGTTCGTATGTGGCGCATCCACTGGCGATACTGCCAGGTGCTCAATGCCATCTATGTCATCCAGGGCCACTGGCAATGCCACAACTGCCAGACCTGTGCCTTCCTCCGGGGCCACTGTGTGGTCACTGCCACTCACCTGCAGTTCCACATTGAGATCATCAACTAAGAAGGGGCCTCAGTAAAGGTCTGCTTTTCTTACAGTGTCCCCAGGTAATGGTGACCTTAAGATTTGGAACTTGCCGCCTCCTATTCTCTCTTACAAAGAACTTCAGTGAGGTATCCCTGTGTCCATGGACCCTGTGTTCATCTAACAATGGCCATATGTCACTCGATTGTCAAAACAGAAACTGAAGTCTCAGTCTGGCCTGACACGTGACAGAGCCAGAGTCCCAGTTCCTATCCCCAGCCCATTCCTCTCCCCACCCAGGAATCTGGGAGACAGATGACTACACTTTCCTGAAAACTCTGCATTTATGGATGAATATGGGGCTCCTTCCTGTCAGCCTGGGACCAGGGTTGGCTGGTCTGACATATCCCAGGGTCCTCTTCGGCAAGCACCTGGAGAGAATGCCAATGTTTGGCTGACTCTCCTGGGAGCAGTGCGGTGTGGCCCAGGTGAAGAAGGTTGGCCTCAGTGCCAGGTGTGCCATGGCTGGATGTGCTAATGGACGATGGTGACAGGAGTTCACAGCTCTCCAGCTCCTTCTCCACAGTCCTCTCTCCAGAACTCCTCTCCCCTAGGGCTGAAAAACAAAGTTCCCTCTGGTTTTATCCCTACTCTTACAACAATTCTGGTGACTTTGTCATCAGCCAGGATGACGCTAGTGATCTAATTCTTCCCTCAAATCTTTTCTGCTTCTCTTCTCAGCCGCTTACTTTCATAGTCACAGAGAGGCAACACTGTCCAAGGTTCAGGGATGTAGCTCAGTGGCACCACACCTGCCTTGCAAGCACAAGGTCCTGAGTTTAATCCCCTTTACCAAAAAAAAAGCAACTCTGATGATGGAAATACGTTTAAGGGAGCTGTCCAACATGGAAGCCTCTGGCCACATACAATTGTGAAGCACCTGATATGCAACTGAGGAACTAAATTGTATTTAAATTTAAATAACCACAAACAGCTAATGGATATCTCTTTGGAAAGTAAGACTCTAAACCGCATCACAGTAATCCTATTATTTTGTTCAAATTGCTTTTTCCAGTGCTCCTTTCTGTGATTATTTTCTTCTTTCCTTCCAGCTCATCTTTTCAAAAACCTCAAAAAACTATTTCTTCAAATGTGAGATGGCCTTCTAGTCGACTGATCCTATAAATTTTTTAATAGTCATCACCCCAGACAGGCACTTGTATTTTTCTTAATCCAGTTCAAATTCTGTGGTTAAATATTACAACCTCAAACATAGGCATGGTGGCACATGCCTGTGATCCCAGCACTCAGGAGGCTGAGGCAGGAGGATTCCTGTGAGTTAGAGGCCAGCCTGGGCTACATAATGAGACCTTGTCTTGACAAACCAAAAATATATAATCTCACACCCCACCTCTCGTGTTTGTGGTGCTGGGAGTTGAACCCAGGGTCTTGTGCATGCTAGATAAGTATTCTACACTGAGCTACATCCCCATTTTATTTTATTTTTGTTATTATTTTGAGACAGGGTCTCACTAAGTTGTCCAGGCTGGTCTTGAACTTGCAGTCCTCCTGCCCCAGCCTACCAAGTGGCTGAGATTACATGCGTGCATCACCATTCCAGCTATCTCTTCCGTTTTTTAGAAAACTGCTTCTTTGAGTTAGGTGTGGTGGCACATCCCTACAATCCCAACACTGGAAACTGAAGCAGAGGGATCACAAACGTGAACCCAGCCTGAGTCACTTAACGGTTTAGAGGAATCCCATCTCAAAAAGGGGAGGGTGTTTGTTGCTGGGGATGCAGCTCAATACAAAGGTCCTGAGTTCAATCTCCAGTGCCAGGGGGAAAAAGAGAAAACCTGCTTCCTTGACCAATCTCTAGCCTAGCTCTTTGCTTTTCCTCATTAGAAAAGCCTGCTGCCACTATTTCCACTTCCATTTTCATTTTCTCTTCAGTCCATCCTAATCCTTCTCACTCCACTAGGCCTGCACTGATGTACCAAAAACTTGTACTCATTAAAGAACAAAAATGTCAAAAGATAACCTATAAAATGGGGCAAGAAAATCTTTGTGCATGACTTATCTGATAAGATATTAAGCAAACATGACAGGATGATAAAAATTGGTGGATCTAGGTAAAGAGTATGGAGTCCTCTGTGTTATCCTTGCAACTTTTCTGTACATTTGGAATCATTTAAAATAAAAAGTCAAGAAATAAAAAGATACTAAACCCAGAATATATACAGAACACAACAAAGAAGACCCAAAAATATTGAAAATGGGCAGAAGATTTGAATAGACATTTTTCCAAAGAGGATACAAAAACAGCCTACAAGAATATAAAAAGATGCTCCTCTTCACTAATCATTCGGGAAATGCACAACAAAACCACAATGAGATAGCACCCCATAACCACCAGGGATACTACTGTCAGAGGAGCCAGTAAGAATGGGAGGAAATTAGAAACCTTGCACACTGTTGGTGGGAATGTACAACTGTGCTGCTGCTGTGGAAAATAGTGCAATGGTTCCTCAAAAAGTTACTAACAGAATGACCGTATGACCCAGCAATTCTGAGACAGAAGAAAAGCAACTGACTCGCGCTCTCCTCCCCTGTGCTTGCTGAAGGCGGGACACGGCTTAGCCAGGGGCCAGCCTGCCCTCCCCTGCCTCCCTTTGTTCCTCTCATCATGGACTGGAACAGTTCGCTTCAGTGTCCTCCCTGGCTAGCAAACCACCATTCTCCACTCCACCGTGAGTGCAGCCAGCAAGGCAGTGTGGCTCCTCTCCCCTACTCTCACCACGTCCGATGATTCTCTGGCCTTTGTGAAGAATGGAGGGGTTACTGCGGAGTGGCTCAGATTTGGAAGGGAAGGACCTGGGACCCTTATTTGCATGTCCAACATTCAGAACAAGCTTTCAGCTCCCACTCTCACTGACACAGGCCTGCGGCTGCTGTCCAGTCACTCCTCAGGTTTTGGTCTAAGAAGCCTCCCTTCTCTATACTGACTTCCCTTCTGTAAACCTGTCATGATTTATTTCTCAGGTGGTATGGGCTCCAAAAGTCCTGGAAATCTACTTGGGATCTTTATCTTGAGTAGCATGGACAGAACGGTCATTTCAAAAGAAAGAGTAGCCGGGTACAGCGGTGCATGCCTGTGAGCCCAGCACTTGGGAGGCTGAGACAGGAAGACCACTGTGAATTTGAGGACAGGCTAAACTACATAGTGAGATCCTGCCTCAAAAATAAACAAACAAACAAAAAGCAAAAACAAAACAGAAAAGAGTAATAAATGCTCAGAGTTGTTAGCACCAAAGAGCTCCTAGCAGACACCTGGTACGGTAGGGCTATGGCAGTGCTCAGTGTCATCTGGTAACATCAGATGCTAGGAGAGCAGTACTTTGCTGATTCACTATTCAATGATTTCCATCGTAATAGTTAATTGATTGTTTCAACTTGAGTAAGAAATGCCCAACTAAATGGGATCGGTATAGTTCTGGGTGTAGCTGAAGGGATTTACTGAAGACCAAAGACCCACCCTGGGTGTGAGTGGCAGCCCCCAGTAGGCTTGTAGCCTGAATGTAATGAAAAGGAAATCAAGAAAGAAGGCTCGCGTTGGAACCCCGGTACCAAAAACAAACAACAGCAAAGAAGGCTCGCTTCTGTTTCTTCAGAGGATTCCAGTCTTGACCTTCACTTTGGACATCGTCTTCTGGCTTCTATCACAGACTCTTCAGCCTTCCAGCGCAGATCCTTCAGCCTCATGATACAGACTTGCGCAGGACTCTACAGTGAGCGCCAAGCCTCAAATTTATACCGGATCCTTTGGATTTCCAGCACACACAGCCTTTTTTTTTGCATTCATCTACACCTGACTCTGAAGGTAGTCGTCATAAGTATACCTTGTAAGTATTTTTATATCTTTCGCATATTTTGCAGAAAGTCTGCTTCTCTAGTAAGCACTGACTGATACACCATCTGAATCGAACGAAAGAAACCTAGGCTGATTGGCAACAGCTCCACTTCTGGACATATACCAAAAGAACTGAAATCAGAACCTTGAAGAGATATTTTTACATCTACATTCATAGTAGCACCATTTAAATAGCTAAAACATTCAAATTTGCAACACAATATCAATTGAAAAATAAATAGGTAAAAACAAAATGTGGTATAGGCATTCGATGGAATATTATCCAGCCTTAAAAAGGAAATCCATGCTAGATGCAGCAGTGCACATCTGTAATCCCAGCACTTAGGAGACTGAGACAGGAGGATTGCTGCAAGTTCCAGGCCAGTCTGGGCTACATAGTGAGACCTTGTCTAAAAAACAAAGAAAACTCTGAGCCATGCTATATAGCATGGACGAATCTCTAAGACAGTGATGGCAAATCTTTTAGAGATTTAGTATCAAACTGCAACCCGAAACCCACTTCCTTATCACAAAGTGCCAACACTGAAATGAAATCTGAGTGAGGTTTTTAGAAGAAAACCAGTCTGCATTAACGTCATTTGTCTTAAAAGAAAAACGCAATAACATGTGCCATAGGTTCACCACAGCTGCTCTAAGACATTATGCTGAGTGGAATAAGTCACAAAAAGACAAGCAACCTGGAATAATCAAATTCATAGAGATAGAAAGTAGAATTGGTGGTTTTTCAGGGGGAAATGGGAATTTATTATTTAATGAGTACAAGGTTTCTGTTTTGCAAAATGACAAAGTTCTGGAGATGGATGTGGTGATAATTGCATATGTGCTTAGTGTCATTGAACTGTACACTTTAAAAAGTTAAAGTGGTAAATTGTGTGTTATGTATATTTCATTATAGTTTCAAAAATAAATCTTAAACCTTGCATTTAAGAAAAAAAGAGCAAAGAATGGCACAGGCTCCACATTGCATAACTATACGAGACCATTTACACAGCCTTCCTAGAGTTGGTTACCTGGCAACTATGACACCCTAAAATCACCCACCTGTGACAGACACTGCTCATCAATCCCAAGTCCGTTCACCCAGCAGCTAGGCTCTCAGAAGCCTTCCCCATGTGACCCCACACAACCCCTACTGATTCCTTAGATCTGACTTGTGGGAAGCCGCGTATCTGCCATCAATAGTTCCAACAATGATGTCTTAGAAATATGCCTAATAAAGAGATCTGGAGACACAGATATAGCAGACCTGGTCATTCTTTTAATGGAAGGGGTATGCATTGGTGCACCTTACAAGCCTGTGAGCCCAGAGAGATTTCAAGTTGAATATTCAATCGGTTTTCTTTGAGTTCATACTCGCCCTGAATAAAGCCACGTGAATGGCAATTGTGCCAACGCCAATAGACCTGAATGATGCGGACAGCATTTAACAAACGACAGTATGGCTGGCGGATGCGCCACATTCTAATCCAGGACTGCAGCTTGACAGCTGCCCATTCTCTCCGTGCATAGAACTCCAGCGCTGTCCACCGCCTCTTCTCCAGCTGCCTTGCTTGTATCTGCCTCCACCAGCACTGAATGATCCAAACACTGAGGGCTGCATGCAGCAAAGTGCGTCGCAGCAGCGTGCCACGCCACCAGGCCTGGATAAACACAGCAGCATACTCTCTTGTCATCTCTTTGGGGCCTTGGAAGAGAAAACAGAGAATTTTTACACACTTAGGAAACTCAGAATATGCCAGGAAGGGGTCCTGTACCAACACTCGCCCAATCCTCAGAAGTTTGGGAGCCCTGGGTATGCACAGCTGGACCCAAAAGACCTGCCTCTGCTGTTCTCTGCTCAATGGACAAGGACCCAATACCTTGAACTCTAGGCTTCGGTGTTCCTGTCTGTAAAATTGGGGTACACTTTCCCTAGCTACTACACACAAGTTTCCAGACCTAATTGGCCAGGGTAGAACAAGAATATCAAGATTTAGAAATAAAAGAGATTCAAGTTTCTCCTGGGCAGGACTACCTAAGTGAGATCATGACCACCTCTTCAGAGTCCTCCCACCTGTAGGGACCTGGTATCCTTTGCTCATCCTGCCCCCTCAACTCAGGTTAAACTCATGGCCTGCTGTCCCTTCTGGATCACTTGAGCAGTAGAAGATTCTTCTACCTCACCTGTGTTATATCAACAGCTTAAACTTCAGTTAACACACACATTGGTACACACACTCATGAATATATACTAATGCACACATTTTACAATTGGGCTCCCCACACCCTGGCCCTTGCACTCCTCAAGTGCAGCCCCAAACCTGTAGCTCCCAGCCCCACATGGTGTAGGCTCACACCCTTCTGCCTCCTTATCTCAACTAGACCCACATCTGTCTGCCTAAGAGGGAAATGAGGACAAGAACACCAAAGGAGGAGTCAGTCCTGTTCATCCCAGCTCTTTGTACCACAACTATTCACTCCAATCTTCCTGAAACACCCTGGGCTTATACCTACTATCCTGGTAGACAAGGATGATGGCAAGTGCACCTCTTACTAAAGTGTCTCTTTGGACAATAAGTTACATGGTCATTCATAGTCCTGTGGACTACATGAGTTAAAGATGTCACAGTCAAGGCTCTCCCCAACAGCAGAGCATGGACCCACCTACCCACAAAGCTGGGGTAGGCACTGGCAGTGAGAGGAAAGGATTAGGGTGGGGGAGTCAATTCCTTCTCTGTTTTACTCCTTCAGGTTCTGTTCTAGCAATGGGATCTCATCATCTTCAACGTGGTTTTCTGTCCTGTCTTGGAGTTGGTAAAATAAAGGTGCTGTCCTTACCACTTGGTGCCAAGCCAACCACAGACTTGACTTTCTGGTCCTCTGGCATTCTAGATGTGGAGAAACAGCCCCACCCAAGGTGACTATGGGAAACTTACTCTACTCTCTCAAAATGTTTGGGCAAATCTATCTCTTACAAGAGCACCCCTGACCCTGATGGATAGTCAAATCCCTGCAAGTTTCTATTCTACTAAATTACCCATGGTTAGGGGCTAGATGGTTCCATCACCCTCCGGTCTGCACTCCTCCAGACACAGTTCCAACAAGAAGAGTAAGAGAAAGAGAGCAATGATGTCATAAGGGTACCTATGACACAGGCCCCAGGATGACACCCAAGAGTTGAGCCCTTTCTAAGGAAAACCCAGACTTGTCCTTACTTTCCTACCCAAATGACTACAAAATCATCTAAAATACTAAACTATTAGCATAAAGATGTATACAGATGCTCATTACCTGGCTAGTATTCATTAAATGTTTTTAGCTTTTTTAAACAATGATACATCAAATAACAATTAGAATGAGTTTGCTTTCTACATACTAATATAGAAAGGTATATGAATTTAGTAGTGAAACAAATCAAGATGAAGAATAAAGTGACCCAAATACAAGGACATATTTATACACGTGTGTTATAAAGGCATTATCCCAAAAGGGGATGAGACAAAAAGCAATGATCATCTCCAATAAGGATAGTTTGAGGGAACAAGGTAATCTCCCTCACTGTGGCTAAACCCTCTATGTCTGGCCTGTCTGCAAACCCCCCAGAATCAGGTCCCCAAGAGATCAGGACACACGCAGGCTAGAAAATCCCATGAAGTCCTCAGGATCATCTCAGGCTCAAATGGATTTAAGTGTTCTATCTTCCTCTGCCTCTGAGGGCTTTGAGGCCACAATCAGATCGATGAGGCTTAGCCACTGCCCAAGCAGGGACCCACCTCTGCTTGCTCCCAGCCTCTGAAGACCCACCTGGATATTGTGAGGCCTGAGCCGCCCTCAGAGTTGCAGTCCTAGAGGTCAGTGAGGTGTGCACTTAGAAAGGATGGAGTGAAGATGGGAAAGTCTGTGTGATCTATAAAGAGAACACAGGAAGAAGAGGCCATGTGAAGCTGAGGAACCTGTTGGTGTGAAGTCAATGGGATGAGAATGTAGAGGAGGAGGAAAATGGGAAAATGATAGAGAAGTGCTGAATAAAAAGACAGGCCCTTGTCTTGCCTCCATTTTTTTTTTCCACAGAAAGAACGTTTTGTTTTGGAAATGTAAGTTTGTGCTGCTGGGCTCCTGCCCGACGTATCAAAACGGTTTGTAACTGTTTGAACTGTGTGACCTTTCAAGAATGTTCTGTTAAGCTCTGCCCCCTCACAAGAAGATTCTGTTAAGCTGCGCTCCCCTCAAGAATGTTCTGTAACTCTGCCCCCCCTCCCCCGCTTCATTGAGCGTGCTCACACAGCATGTGTTTCAGGAATGTTCTGTAACTCCGCCCCATTGCTTCAGGGATGTTCTGTAACCTTGCCTTCCTGATTCGGTGAGCTTGCTCGCCTACCCTCTAGATCCCTTATATAAGGAGGCTCTCATTTCTGGTACAGCACTCAGACTTCTCTGAGCCCACCAGGGGCTCGCCAGAGTAATAAAGCCTTTTTCTTCGCCTCTTCAAATCACCATTGGATTCTCAAGTCTTCAAATTATCAGAGCTGTGTTCCAGAGCCACCACACTGAGCTATAAAGCTCAGCTGTGCCTTCTGAGCTGTGGCACTTAGCTGTGACACTGAGCTGTAGCACTCGGTCATGTCTCTGAGCTGCAGCACTTAATTGTGACATTTGGCTATAGCACAGAGCTGCTGTGCTCTGCCACAACAAAAAATAGTAGGCTCCACTGTGTAGGACAGGGCAGATATAAGAAGACTCAATTGAAGATAATATTAGCTAGGCCCTGGGAAAACTGCATCAGTTAGTGCCTCACTCTGATATAGGAAGTGGGACATGGCAAAGCTGTCTGGAGAAGTGGGCAGGACTATAAATTACAAAACCCCAGGTCTGTGCCAGATGATTTTGAGGACATCACGAGATGTGGATGGCATAAAGAAGACCGGACGCCCCAAGAAGCTCGCTAACATGACTCTTCATGGTAGCCTATGTTGGGTTGTGCTTTTATTTTTGCTCTTTTTCTCTTTTCCTCTTTCATTCCGCCCAGATTCATTCAGCAGTCCTAATTCTTCCATTACATCTTTATCCCTCATTTTTGAATGGGCAGTGCTTTTGGCTTCTCTCATCCAATTCTTTCTTTGAGACAAGAAGGACCCCTAGAATACTTTTTGTTTGGTAAGCCATTTCTAAAGGAACTACTCAGCAACAATTACTGCTGTATGGGTTCATCTGCACTTATTCCTGGGCAGCATGACCCTGTCTCAAAATAAAAATAAATAAAAGGTCTGAGGATATAGGCCAGTGTGAAGCCCTGGGTTCAAAATTCCAGTACCACAAACACACACACACACACACACACACACACACACACACAGAGACAATGGCAAAGTATTGTGTTTGTTATGCAGTGACACTAAAGCAATGCCAAAAGAATACAATAGTATGTAATTAACAGATAAAGCAGTGAACAATATTTTAATTCACAAGGCAACAAAGGTCATGAAAGATATTTTTAATGGTGCATCTCTTCACAGCAAAATTTCTTTACAAAATCTAAAATATGAAAATAACCCTGCAAGCAAGTGACTTCCAAGTTGCTCATTTGCTAGCAAAGCAGGGAAAGCTGTTACCAGTAGCAGATTAATTAGTCTGATTGGGGAAGCTGAAGAAATGCCTCCGGGAAAAAATAAATTTAACATTATTAGCCTTTCAATGAGAATAGCTACTTGAAGAGTTGAAGATGTGGGGAGCAACGTCAATAGTCAAATTAAAGACAAGGCAAATGATTCCAAGTGATTTCCCTTATTTCCTAATGAGCTGATAGAGGCACCAATACAGCCTAGCAGTTGTTTATTGCAAATGTCGGGTTTAACATAACAGAGGATTAAAGTCTATAAATAGTATGTAAAAGGCAAATATGTGCAGAAAATATTTGTTGAAGTTGACAAAAAACTAATTCAATGCCACCTGAAATGGACTCTGCCAAGATGTGATAAATACACATATTTACAAAAATATGGGTGCAGTAGAAAAAAGACTTAATCTTACAAAGCTTGTGAAACTGTATGATGCTTAAGGCCTGCAATTACCCATTGTATTCGTCTGTCCATATTAAGTGAAAAATATTGGAATCTATCACATTATTGAAACAATAGCGTCAATTGCGAACTTCACTAGGCATTGTTGACTTAACCATTCTCGTCAGTTCCATGCATTTCTATCAGAAGGAATGTGCTGGCTTGCTTCACACACAGCTCTTCCACGGCTTAGCATGGTTTGACTGGAAACTTTTAAGTTCAGGGTCAAGATTAAGATTTTTCTAAATGAGAAAAAAACTGCCCCCAACTAGCATTATCAAACCCTGAATGGCACTAGAAATTAGCTGCTTCTGCTATCATCATGTTTCTTCATGAATTAAACTGTAATTAAAGGGCAACCCAATGCTGATAGGTAAAACTAATACAGTATTCTGGTCCAGTCATCGTAATGACAAATCATTCTGAGTCACAAATAATAAATTTCTCTATATCTTCCTGAGCTATCACAAGCTAAAATTAGAAGTAAGCTATCTATTCCCACAGAAATTTCAAGAGATGTCTTTGCTGAGCTCAAACTATAGCTCTAGCAATAACTTTTTATCAGATTTCTTGCAAATACAAGAAGATTTTTCATAGTTCTGGATTTATTTGTTTAAAGAATTGAAAAGCAATCACCTAAATTTCAATTGGAAATAATTAATCTACAATATAGTGACATGCTTAAAGGCACATGTTAAGAGAAGAATTTAATAGAACTTTATAACTGTCTCTGGTATAAATCCTAAAGTCCAAAGGCTAGAGAATTCATAAATCCCCAGGAGAAAATAAATTCACAGTTCAACAATAAACAGTGAATTTACCCTTCCTCCACATTCTTGTTCTCAGATCCTCAATGGATTATATGGTGCCCAAACACACTGGTGAGGGCAGTCTCCGTGGCCCAGCCTAGCAATTCAAATGCTAATCTCTTCCAGAAACATCCTTACAGACATACCCAAAAGTCAGTTTCTACTAGCTATCTGAGAATCCCATAGCCCAGTCAAATCAGTGCAGAGGTCTGGAGATGTAGTTCAGTGGCACCACGCCTGCCTCGCAAGCATTGAACTCGGGTCCTTGCGCTTGCGAGGCAGGCCACTGAACCACTGAGCTAAATCCCCGGGCCCCCAAAAAATTTTTTGGTGCCTGAATTAACCACCACAATTCCTGAGGATTCTTGAGAATTTTTTGTAGATTATGGATACAAGCTCTTTGTTGAATATGTGATTTATAATATCTCCCATATCTGACTTATATTTTCATTCTTAAAAGTATCTTTCATAAATGTCTAGTATATAATTTATTTTTCTTTTATAGACTCTTTCTAAAGGTAATAAAGGTTTTCTCCTATATTATCTGGTAAATTTTTATGTAGTTATGCATTTTACATGTATATCTATGATTAAGTTATCTATTTTGAATTAGTTTTTGTATAAAGTATGAGGATTAAATTGAAATTCATTTTTTTTGCAAATGAACTTCCACTTGTTGGAACAAATTATTGAAAAGATTATCCTTTTCCCATTGAAATCCTTTGTGTCTTTATCAAAAATTGATGGCATCTGATGTGTGAATCTGTCCTTGGACTATTCTATTCCACTGGACTAGTTTAGTCATTGTCATACCGGTGACTCCTTCAGCAGTACTACAGTTGTAACTATTATTGTAACTTTATAATAGAGTAAGTCTTAAAACCAGCTACTAGTAGAAGAGCTTTACTCTTCTTTCTTCTTTTTCAAGTGTTTTGGTTATTCTAATGATTTTGACTTTCCATTTCAATTTTAAATCATATTATCCATGTCTGTAAAAATTCTTCTGAGATTTTAATTAGAATTATATTAAATTTGGTGATAATTGCCATCTTTATTGTGGTCAGTCTTCCAACCCATGAACATGGTGTGTTTCTCCACTTATTTAGGTCTTTTTTGGTTTCTTTCATCAATATCTTATCATTTTCCAATGTGGATCCTGTG